TAACCAACACTGAGAGTTTTGCTGTAGTAACACATTCTTTTACCCAACTAATCCATTTTGCACCAAACCCAAAATTGAAGAGCATGGATGATAAGAAGCACCAGTTAACTGAGTCAAAAGCCTTTTCAAAATCAATCTTAACAATCAGACCTCTCTTTTTGGTTTTTCTCCAGCCATCAACCACCTCATTTGCAATTAGTACACCATCCATGATGTTTCTTCCACCTGTAAAGGCTGATTGGGTATCACTGATGATTTGAGGAAGCACTCTTTTTAGCCTACTGGACAACTTTTGCAAGGATTTTGTAAACTGAACCCACTAGGCTGATAGGTCTATAGTCACCTAGCCCCACTGGATTTTCAACCTTTGGGATTAGTGAAATAAATGAGCTATTAAGACCCAGCACCAACCTTCCATGCCTATGAAATTCCTTAAAAAACTTCAGCAAATCAGCTTTCAACAATAACCAAAATTTTTGAAAATAAGCCAAGTTAAAGCCATCTGGTCCGGGGGCCTTGTTACCATCACAATCCTTCACAGCAGTCCTAATTTCTTCCTCTGAAAAATTTGCTTCCAGCCCATCAAAGCTAGGGCAATCTTGGACAGATTTAAAATGGCCACTTAGCTTAGGCCTAACTCTCCAATCCTCTGTGTACTGCTTACTAAAGTGGTCAAAGACTTCTTTCCTAATCTGAGTAGGATCTTCCAACACAATAGACCCAACAGACATGGAAGAGATCGCATTTCTACTGTGCCTACCCTTGGCAATTACATGGAAAAATCTAGTATTTCTATCTCCTTTCAAATTCCAATTGAGTCTTGATTTTTGCAACCACAACCATTCAACCATTTTGCTAAGTCTCCACACCTGATCTCTGAGTAATCTACTTCTTGCTCTTTCTGCCTCATGCAAATCTCTGGATTCAGCAGCTAAGTCCAGAAAGTGCAGTTCCTCTTCAGCTTCCTTCAACTTCATAGTCACACTACCAAAAACCTCTTTATGCCAAGCCTTTAACTCTAACTTCAGGATTTTAAGTTTTTTCAGAAGGACAAAGCCAGCCCAACCTTCAACTGCAGCCTCTTTCGAGGTCTTCTCCACAAAGGCTGGAAAGCATGGGTGTAGACTCCAAGCATTGATGATTCTAAAAGGCTTGGGACCCCAGTCCCTATCATCCTCCATCAGCAACAGAGGACAATGATCAGATATGAGCCTAGGAAGACCCCAAAGCTTTAAATTGAACACCTCCAACCATTTGGGATCCACTAACACCCTATCAATTCTACTCCACTTATCCCCTGCTATTGAGTTACACCAGGTATATTTTCTGCCAAGTAATGGTATGTCAATTACTTCACATTGTTCGATAAATTCATTGAACTCTCTCATGCCTTTATCTCTTCTAAAGCAACCCTTCCTTTCACCTATACTTTTTATCTCATTGAAATCTCCGCATAAACACCAAGGATTAGGAAACTCCCTTTTTAGCTTTAATAAGCAGTCCCACAGTTTGGCCCTATTTCCCACCTCATTAGGAGCATAAATATTTAGTAATACACAGTCAAAAGAATTGAAGAGAGTACCAGAGAGGAGGATGAATCTTTTAGTGCAACAGCAGTCCTTAAGTTGAAAAACCTCCGGATCCCATATGCAAAGAAGACCTCCAGCTAGGCCATCAGAGTCCACAGCAGTGTACTCCATTTTGTTCCTAGCCCACATTGCTCTCACATCCTTTTCAGCTACTACAGATTTTTTAGTTTCTTGAAAAAAAACTACATCCACATTTCTTTCCTTCAGCATATTCCTTATTTTCCCCCTCTTTTCCTGCCTACCAGTTCCTCTAATATTCCAAGAAAGCATCTTCATGAGAACATAACAATCTCCGAAAAAAACCCCTTCAATGTATGCATGTTAGTCTACTGCACCATTACCCCTATCCATCCTGCATATATCTTTGACTTCAAGCTCCACAATTTTATTAAGAACCTCCTTTTCCTTTCCCAGCATATCCACACCCAGCAACTTGCCCATCTGCAAACATGCTTGTGCCTCATCCAATAGATGCTGACTACCTTCCCCTCCTTGCTCAGTTAAAGCTAGCAGTGAAGCTTCAGCAACAGATGCTCTAAACAGGGATCTTTTAGGGGCTGATTTGCTTGTTGAGGCACCCTTCAGACCGGCTCTCTTATCCAGACCTAAGAGTCTCTTTTGTGGTCGAAGGTAGCTGGTCTTCCGTTTCTCTTTTGCCTGCTCCTTACCTTTGCCTTTCAAGACTGCAGACTTGGGAGTTTGTTTAGCAACCTGAGTCTGAGTCTCAGAAACACTGGATTCTCTGGTGACAGGCCCAACATCCATTGCCATGTCTTTTATATGGGCATCATATAACACCGGCCCATTGGGCCCTTTAAGAGGTTCAACCAAGTCATCATTCAACTTATGATGGCCCAGAACCACTTCCAAACTTATCCCAGGCCCCTTAAGACTTGCACCACTCAAACTTCTCATAAAGCCAGGCGTGTAGACCTGCCCATCATGTCCCTGAGCAGCAGCCCTTGTGTCATTAAATGCTGAGTTAACAGCTGCCATTGCTTTGCAGGCCACTGTCTCGAGCTCCTTACCCATACTGCTGCATGTCTCTGCCACTGCTGTATCGCTTTCCCGAAGTTCCCCTTTGTCTGCCGTTGCTTCACTAACATCCCCACGTGGCTTCTTTCCTCTGGCCTCCATCTTGGTTTGAGCATTCCCCATAGCTAACTCACCTCCTAAGTGCCGAGTTAACTCATCATCATGGTTCTGAGATGGCTCAGCAGCTCTGTTGAAGTCAAATATGAGATGGCTCAGCAGCTCTGTTGAAGAGCTGTGATGTTCCATCAAGGTAATTGAAACTCTTGTTGCAAATCACTGATCTGCCATAGAGATAGGTCATTGACATAGTTTTATTTTGATTATTTTAAGCTAAACTAACACATTTAAGTGCATCAAATTTTCAAGTCAAGTTTGATATATGTTTTTGCAGATTTTGTTGAGGGAATAGTTGATATGATCGAGCGGTTGATGTTGGGAGCCAAAGATTATGTTGCTTTTTTTTTTTTTTTTTTTTTTGAAGACTTGAATTTTTTAGTACAGTGTATTTAAAGATGATTAAAGGATAATGTCTATTATAAATTTAATTAATTTGTTAATTTTGTTATTTTTCATTTACAAAAAATGGTTTGGTGCTTGTAATTGATTTTTTTGTTGTAGCAAACCTATATATGATTTTTTTTAATAAATAATTATTTACGACAGTGAAACAATGGTCGCTAAAAGTGTTTTTTTTATTATTTTTTTTGCGACAGCAAAATAGCTGTCGCAAAAAGTCTTTTGCGACCCCATGTGCAGTCGCATAGGCCGTCGCAAAAAGTCTTTTGCAACTGTATTTTTATTATTTGCGACGGCATGTGACGGTCGCAAAAAGTATTTTTTTTAGTAGTGAATGTTATTAATCACACTTAAAAGATGTGATGTAAATATTTTTAATCACACTTAAAAGGTGTGATCGAAATGTTATTAATCACACTTAAAAAGTGTGATTAAAAATGACCCTTTTTAATCACACTTCCAAAGATCACACTTAAAAGGTGTGATCTAAATACTTTTAATCACACTTAAAAGATGTGATCAAAATATTTTTAATCACACTTAAAAAGTGTGATTAAAAATGAGCACTTTTAATCACACTCCCAAAGATCACACTTTAATAAAATTTAAAAGGTGTGATTAAATAACATACATCACACAAAAAAAGTGTGATCTTTATCTGTTTTTGTAGTAGTGATGAATAACTCAGCCCCCATTTGGGATAACATTTTGGGCTAAAATGGTCATATAGGACAAAAGAGGTTATTTTAGCTAAATAAGACAAAATGTCACATTTAACCCACAATCATTTCCTTTTTTTCTCTCACAAACGTCAAAAAAACCAAAAAGTCTATTTCAAATAAGACTTTTTAGCCCCAAGCTAAAATAGTCAAAAGTCAAAAAGCTAACCCACATCTCAAATGAGCTCTCAAATCACTAGAATTGAACATGTTGAAGACACCATAAGCTCAAATGTACTAGATTAGACTTCTCTTCAACCAGCGTGAAACCAAATCTTATTTGTTTATTTATTTTTAGTCATATTTTATTGTAAAGATCACATAAGGGGAGGTAGATGCCATGCCATGGGGTTGAAACACTAGTTGTAGAGTAATGCTATAGTGATCATCTATTTTTATCATCTTATATTATTATTCGATGTATTAGTCTGATTTTCAGTACTACATTAGATATATACACGAGTGGTTAAACCTATTACATCAATATTATGTTGACAAAAAGATAATGAACATATTATTATGTTCATTGCTTATTCAATGAACTTAATGTGCTATGATTTCCAAATTCTGAGAAACGTGCAAACTTGAAATTATTTTTGCTATGAAATCATTTTCTCTTTCTTTATTCTTTGTTTTTGTAGCATAACATAAAGAACAAATAAGAAAAAAAATCAAGCATAAATTATTAGCTTTTTATTTACAATAAATTAATAAATGGAGTGGCTGTTTTATCCTCTTTTCAGCTCAATATTTGAAGCCACAACAATCTCATGCCAAGAGGGGCATGGTGGTGGAAATTGTAGTGTCCTCTGTTGCAGCTTTGTTTTTTGTAATCTGCTTACTTTCTTGGTTGGTGATGAGGAAAAGAAAAGGTAATAAAAACAACATTAATCTTCTATCATTATTCATTTTCAAATTTTGTAAAAGAAAAGGTAATAAAAACAACATTAATCTTCTATCATTATTCATTTTCAAATTTTGTAGCATGAAAAATCATATGTGGTAATCAAATATAATGTCAGTGATTTAAGACTATATTTGAATTTCGATAAGATTTTAGTTGAGTTGTGTGACAGGAAAAAGATGACAAAACAACTTGTTATTTAGTCCCAACAGTTCAACATCCTTTATAACCACCCAAATGGAAAATCAGTTTCATGAAAGTGGAACAAATACGGAATTACCACTTTTTGATCTAACCACCATTGTCGCCGCCACTGACAATTTTCCTTCCTCGAACAAGCTCGGTCAAGGTGGCTTTGGAACAGTGTACAAGGTAAGACACTTTTCAGACTTGAAAATTATCTGAAAATTGTGGTTTATTTGTATTTGGAGAGTAAATAAATTAATTGTGCATTGATTTCAGGATCAACTACACAATGGACAAGAAATAACGGTCAAAATGTTAGCGAAAAATTTGGGCCAAAGGGTGAAGGAATTCAAGAATAAAGTTACACTTATTGCTAAACTCCGACATAGAAATCTAGTGAGACTATCGGCATGTTGCACTCAACAAGACAAGAAAATGTTGATCTATGAATGCCTTCCAAACAAAAACTTAGACCCTTTCATCTTTGATATGCTTAATTTTTGGAATTGAGTTCATTTGTTTATTAGCACTGACATTTATGTAAAAATATAAGAGTACCTTCGATTTGTTGATAGAATTGACTTTTAACTTTGGCCTAGATAAAACAAAAGGCTCATCTTGAGAATGAAGAAAGTGCTTCGAGATCATTTTGGGAATCGCTTGTGGGATGATATACCTTCACCAAGACTCTAGAGTAAGAATAATTCATACAGATCTAAAAGCAAGTAATGTTCTACTCGACGCTTCAATGAACCCTAAAATATCAGACTTTGGTATGGCTAAAATATTTGGAGCGGACCAGATTGGAGCTAACACAAATAGGGTGGTTGGAACATAGTATCACTTATACATTCATGTGTGGGGAGAGAGAGGGGGAGAGAGAGAGAGAGAGAGAGATGTGCAAGAAAGGCATTAATTCTAATTATTGTTTCATGTTGTAATTACAGTGGTTATATAGTGACCCCGGGTCTCCACCCGATTGTCATGGTATTCTGGATCCAAATTTTGTTGTTTGATGTTGCTGGTTATGTCTTTCTTTCTTACACCTCTTGAATTTGAATTTTGGAATGACTTGAGCGTGTTTAGAACAGGTTGGTTTCCTTTCGGTCTAGAATCTTGTTGTCCAAAATTTCAGTCTTCCGCTCGAGCGGGACTTTTTGCGCTCGAGCGGAGTTTGCAACCTTTCAATATCGAGTGTCTCTGCAAAAGTGCTGCAAGAGTGTTTTTCACGCTTGAGCGGTGTTTCTTACGCTCGAGCGTGTCCGAGCTTGAGTGGCCCTTCTGGCGGTCGAGCGTCTGTCTGCAATCTGTGAAATACTGGACGGGTGAAATCCATGCTCGAGCGGTGCTCTTTGCGCTCGAGTGAGTTGTTGTTGCTGTGTCTTACGCTCGAGCGTGAAACTTTTCGCTCGAGCGGGATTCGCGTATATCAGATCGTAAAAGCGACTTTTTACACAACTTTTTCATCTCTTTTTCATCCAAACCCTAAGTTGAGAGCTTCTCTCTAGAAATAACCTCTCTCTCTCTATATATATATTTGACCAATATCTAGTGATCTTCTCACCCTCCTCCCTTAGGAAATAAGATTGAGCTCTTCAAGATCTTCATTTTCATCCAAGAAGAAGTGGGTTTTGCCATTTTTGGAAGCTTCACCTTTGTCTAACCCTTCTCCTTGGGCTTCTATTTTGAGGTAGGGATATTCTTGAGTTATATATACTAGTTTTGCCCTTTTTATAATGATTTGAGAGTTATTTCTAGTTTGTGATGATATTAACCTTGTGATTTCAAAATGTAATGGTTTTCCTCAAAAGAGGGTTTCTCTTTTAACTCTAAATTTTTGGTCAATCCTTGAGGGTTCTTCTTGTTGACCTAAGAAAAGAAATATTTTGGGTGAGGTTTGTCACAGTGAAATGGGAAGTGATTATTTTGAGAAAAAATCCTAGAAATTGGGGATTTTGGTAATATGGCCAATGTCTTTGAAATTTCTTATGTTCTTGTGTTAAAAGGACGAAGAGAGTGAATTGCATCAATGTTGGCAAAAGGAAAATTATTTGTTGTATGAAAATGAGGTGTAAATGTTAAATTGATGACAATACCTAAATGAGCAAAGTTGTGGCGAGACTAATTTGTTATGTCTTGTGATATGGAAATTGTGACTACGTGTTGATGAAATATATTAATCATGTGAATGAACATTGAAAAGAGAAGATGAGAATGTAAATGTTGACACTGTAGTAGAGATACTCAAGAGTGGAGAAATGTCTTAAGATATGGAAAGGATCATTTGCATTGCATGCTATTTCCTTTATTATAGTGCATTGTGAATCTAAATCTTTGAGATTTCCATTATGAGAAAAAGAAATGGTTATTTTGTTGAGAACTATGAAAATTTATAAGGGGTAAATACGTTGGTAAGTCCGGGTAGGAGATGTAGAGGAATTTGTTAAGTTGGCCTGAGAGTCCAGGGTGAAAGACCCGAAAGCCGCAGGGATAGGTGTCGAGCCTTCTGGTTAGTACCAGTAAAAATGACAGTTTGGTAGTACTCGTGGAGTCTACTTGCAGACATCGGCCTAGGGATTACCAGTGTCGTATTTACCACCCCTATTGAATTAATAAATGGGAATTTGAAATTGATGAGATCACATGGTGATATTGAGAATATGGTGATTTTGAATTTGGTGCATTAAAATGAATGTTTTTCCTTAGTACCTTAATCTTGGCATGGCATTGCAATCACGTTTGTTTTTATGTTGAGGAAAAGGCATAATTGTATATACTTTGTAAGAATTCTCTACTGGGCTTTGTGCTCACCCCTGTGGGATTTGGTGCAGGTAAAAATGTGGTGATCCCGCTGAATTGAGGGCGTGGATATTTTGAGAAGAGTACATAACTCTTTTGTTTTGTGATTTTGTTTTGAGCCAAGGGCTAATGTGTATGGGTTGCAGAAACCATTTTGTGTAACCAGGCTTATGCCTCGGAAGATGTAAGCCCTTAAGGGCATTGTATTGTTTTGAGAATGGATGCTTTACCTGCTATAGATTCATATGACCTGTCTCGATGAATGTATACCCGCATGTAAAACTTTTGTAAAGACTCTTTATTAATTATGTAAAGATGGGCAGATGGTTGTTATTATTGAGTGAATGTTGATTACATATGGGTAGTTCATGTCGAATTATTTTCGGGGCGTTACAGGTTATATGTCACCAGAGTATGCAATGGAAGGATTATTTTCAATAAAATCAGATGTTTTTAGTTGTGGAGTTTTATTACTGGAGATCATTAGTGGCAAAAAGAGCAACATCTATAATCAAGACAATTTTGTGAATTTAATTGAATCAATGTATTAGTAATGGAAAATCCTATAGCTGCAATAGAATGGAGGATTTTCCATTACCTAGAAAATTGTTGTTTGATCAATCACCCAAAGATGATGTTATACATTGTTTCAGGTTAGGAACTTATGGAGAGAAGAAAAAGCACTAGATATAGTTGATTCATCGTTAGCCGAGTTGTGTTCAAGTGAAGAAGTCTTGAGATGCATTCACTATGGTCTCTTGTGTGTACAAGAATTTACCACTGATTGGCCAACTATGTCAGATGTTGTTTTGATGTTGTGTAACGAAACGACCTTGCCTCCTCCTAAACAACTGGCATTCATCTTTAACAGACCTAGCTGTTCATCTATAAATGATCTTACGTTTACTACAATTCAAGCTCGATGAATACTCTCACTATACACTAATATTTTGTACTTAATACGCAGTATTCTTGCTTCCTCTTGCAGTATAATTAAATGTATCTAACTTATGCATGCTATCATCAGTTTTTCAGAGTAAATGTAATTATTTTAGTAGTTACACCATCTATTTTCTCTTGGAGGCCACAGATAATATTTAACAGTGATCACTAGAACAAATTATTATGATTGTGAAGTCATTGTTATATTACTTCCCTTAAGGCTTTGTTTGGATTTTAGATTTGAGCAGTGATTTTGGTTGGTTAGGTAAGTGGGTGGATGGGTGGTGGGAAGAAGGGGAAAAGTGGGGGGAAAAAATTAGAGGTGGCAAATTTAACTTAAACTTGTGAATCCGTCCAATTATACCTATTTAAAACTCATATTAATTTGCCCAAATCAATAAATGTTGCTTAATGTCAACTCACTTAAAGTTAAGTTTACATCCATTTAAAACCCATATTAATCTGCCCAAATCAATAAATGGACTTAGCTAAGTTACTCAATGTCAACTCACTTAAAATTAAGTTTACAGGGTTGGACATGGGCACTCATTTAAGCCCATCTAAATGGCACCACTTCTACCACTACAACCGATTTAAAAAAAAAAAATTAATTCATTTTTTAAAAAAATAAAAAATAATTTGGGGTACATTAAACTTACCTCTCCTGAAGTTTTTAACAAATACAAAGACCTCCCCTATAGTTTCAATAATTACAAAAACTTCCCATACTTTTGCTGACAATATCAAAATTCCCCAAATCCATTAATTTAGCACAAATGATGTAACACCCCGAAAATAATTACAATAATCCAACCAAACACAATCAACACAAGACAATCAAATCGAAATAATAAACTTTCATTAATCTAAATTGATATATAAAAGTGACACATGCAATATACATTCATAGAAACTTCATCCTGAATCTACAGCATGTGTGACAAGTAGTAAAGATGAATGAAAGTTAAACAGATGTTTAAATGCCCTAAGGGCTTACATCTTTCCAAGTCATCACTTGGTTACAACAAAAGCGAGACTAGCTCAATACAAATAAAGCCCTGGGCTACACAAAAGAAAATGCAACAAAAGGATGCTCTTGCTCCAAAGTCACTCCAAGCTATTGCCTTAATTAGCGGAGGCATATCATCAACACCTTAAAATGATTTTTTCCAAATAGGGTGAGCCAAAACCCAGTAGAAACAATCTAACACAGTATATGGATCCTAACAAAGATATAAGTATAATATGTATTTACAATGCCGGTGATAAAACATCCACATTCTTTATAACCATAAAGCACCAAAATTCACATCTCTATCCTTTTTCCGTCTCGTCAATTCAAATTAATTCATTTCATCTCACTTCATGACTCGATTTCATTATCTTTCAGAAAACCTATCTGAGGCTACAACTCGGTGGTTCCCAAACTAACACAATTATCACACAAACACTTTCAATTTGCCATTTTACGAAAATTTCGTCCGTGGGATCGACACCTATGTATGTGCGCGGTTTCGGGACTTTCACCTTGGACACACCAGCCAACTTAATTTCAATGGAGTCCATCCCCTTTCTCCACCTAAACTCTAACGCCCTCAAAAATATACCCATTATATATATCGTTGACATGCATTATTTAAAGAAAACACTTTAATAATTCATTATAATATCCATCAGAGTCTTACTAAACAAAAGCATTACATGTAACATCAAAGTAAATGCCCTACCGGCTTACATCTTTCCAAGCCAACACTTGGACACAAAGTATG